ATGCACTTTTATTCATTTACAATAAACTCATAAAGTACATCATTCTGATTGAAGATGAAGATTTCACAAAACACCAGTCCACTTGATTCGATCTTCAAGATGAAGGATGAGAAGACCTTCAGTCACTGAGCGCCCAGGTCAAACTCCTTGTGGGCAATCAGATTTCTCCAGAAAATTAGGGTTTTAGGCAACACACTTAAATCTATTAGGAGGACAACAAAACCAGTCCCCTTCTCTCCAGAAACTACTAACAACGGGGCTGAAATAGGTTTCTCTAACTATTCATACGATTCAGTTCTCCATACACTGTGTATGGGAAAAAAGAGGTAAAAAGAGGGAAAAGTCAAGCCTGCTCTGATACCAAGAAGAAAAGCAACCTTTTGAAAAGAAAGGACTGTTTAAAAAGTTGCAGAAAATCAAAAGAAAGTAGCAGAAATCAGGTTTCAAGAAGAGAGAAGAAGAAGAAGAAGAAGGTGGCGGCAACTAGGGTTTTGAGAGAGAGATTTTCGAACATAACCTTATCTCTTACACCCCTAATTCCATTTCATTAAGTTAAACTTTAATAATTTACAGAGAGGCCCCTAGTTGGGCAGAAAATTAAAAAACATAACACAAGAAAGAATAAAGCCCAGATTAAGGCCCATTACTGCAAAAAACATAAAAAAATAAAGAAGGATAAACGGCCTATGGGCCATTCGGCCCATCTTCTCTACAACAGTCCCACAGGAAAAAAAACTTTCTGCTTGTCGTGTGTTCTCAGATTCTTGAATTCTCATCCATTGTACAAATAATCATATTGGTGTATTATGCTTGTTATTATCTATTTCTTTTTAATATTAGTTTTTTATTCATATAATTATGTGGGTAGATTTTACTTTTGTTCTTTTACTGCATGCTTCAAGGTAACCCCCTTCTTCGTATTGGCTCAGGTGGCAGAGGAGCTCTATCAGTCCGGTTTCATCAGTTACCCCCGTACAGAGACCGACTGCTTTTCAGCAAGGACAGACTTGCATGTCAGTAATCTTATTTAGACATTAATATTCTAAATTGTGAGAAAAATGTCAATTCAAGTTGTTATTTTTATAATTATTAGTTGATTTCACTTAATAAAACCAGTAAAACTATGATTGCATTCTGCCAAACCCCAGCCATAATGATATTGTTGCTTAATGCTTCTTTGGGAAGTGATGCTAGCCATTATATATAAAATCAAAGAGCAATTTGGGAGTCTATGCTGGAAATGACCTTATTCTGCCATTTCTTACATTTTCTTATAACCAACTATGATCCTTTTGTTGTATTTTACTTTTAGTGTCAAGTCCATGTCTGCTTTGTCAGGTCCTTTTGTCCAGGCAATGACAGGCCTGGGATGGTTATATACCCATTATACCCTTTGCTAAGACTGGGCCGATCAAGGCCCAAGATGACCCTTATCCTGGAGGTGTATTTTTTATGGAAATCCCTGGAGTTTGTGATACAGGTCATTATGGTTTATTGTTGAGGGGTGGGCCTCTGTTTGGGGTTTGGCCTGTTTTCTCATGGGCTCTGTTGTAGTATGTTCCTGTGTTTGATTAAAAAAATACAGGTCATTATTGTTTGGGAAGTAATGGTCTAAGAGCACATGTGGTCTAAGGTTTATAAGATCTATATTGGTGGAGACCCTGATTTTTTTATCAGTGGGCCTTCATTGTCTGCCAGTGCAAAGTGGGAAGATGGTGTGGTTCAGGAGCTGTTCGAGTTCAGAAGTTAGAGGAAGTGATTTTATCTGGTTATATGAGTTGTCTAGAAACATCAGTTGCAGTAATTGGTAATATTGCTATGGCAGAATGTTGTGATGGTAGTGCCCCATTATAGTTTGAGGAAAGTTCCATGTGATCCCAAATGCTTCAAAGAAATATAACAAAAAAAAAAAAACCGTACTATCTTCACTATGGAGGAACAGATGATTTATTGTTTCAGCTTCTTTCTGACTAAGAATGCATGTACTGAATACCCCCATACCCTTATTAAACAGATTGCGCACCATCATCTTTTACCCTACGATGTTATCCACACCATGAAAGCTATTTCTTATGGGCCATGAAATATCCACACCAAATTGGATGGACCATTATAATAAAATGTGTTAGATACAGACTTATCAAAAAAAAGTGTTAGATACAGCATATTAGTGTATCAAATTGAAGTCTGGGTGGGTCAGTATTAGTCTCATGAGGATTAGGATATGATTAATTTGGATATTTATATTTTTCTTGTTAGTTTGTATATAAGTCTCTTGTGATCACTGGATTAATAAGTAATGTAATCATTTATCTTCTAAGCCTTTATGATATCTGAGCCACCAATCTGGCTCTAGTGATGCTTCCTCTGCTGCTGCTGTCCTGTTGTAGCTAGCATCACTTGCTGCCCATTGGTCTCAAATGTGTATTCTTATGTCTAGTTTTCCTTTTTTTCCCAAAAGAGATCTGGTCCTGTTGCTAAGGCTGTATCTTGGGTCAGTCCAATCTGAGCCCAGCCCCAAAAAGGTCAGGTTCAGTTGGTTGAATATTGGGCTAAGGTTGAGACATCAGGCAACCCGATCCAACCTGAGCCTGGTGTTTTTAATACATATGCACCTGCATATTCTACTGTTTGCACATACTGTAATAATTTTCCTTTGATTTTAGTTTTAAAGATCATGATTTTATGTGTCAGTTAACTAGGATATAATTGGAACATGTAGTAATTGAAACACTCATAAAAAACATGTAATAATTCAAAATTCATAAAATGTAATAATTCAGACTCTTAACTCTCATTTTCATGGATTGGCATCACTATCAATCCCTCTGTTCTCTTTTTCCTATCAACAACCCTAACCCATTTCAATATCATCCCCATCCTCTTTGTACTTCTAGTTCTAGAAACCCTTAACTCCCACTAGGACCTAGTTATTGGTGCCAATCTCTTCATCTTATTGAGATCTAACTCTCAATAGACATGATTGAAAGTTCAAACTTTGTCAAGGCATGATTCAAGTTTAAATGTTCAATTGAAGTTCTTTTGGAGCACAACTGCATAAGGCCAGACCTTAAACCATAGTTTGGATGCAAGCATAAGTTTTCTTTCTTTGTCCTTTTAGGTGTTATGTCTCTTGGATCTTGGTAGCAGTTGGATGTTCTGATTTTTGTGTTTATGCAGTGGTCCCCTCAGGTTTTATTTTATGTTTATAATGTTCTTTACTTCTTTTTATCTCCTTAAAATATTTCTTGTGTTTGTTTTGTTTGAGGCATTTTTTGTTTATGGAATTGGAGATGAAAATCAGATTTTTGTGTTTATGCAGTGGTCCCCTCAGGTTTTGTTTGATGTTTATAATGTTCTTTACTTCTTTTTATCTCCTTAAAATATTTCTTGTGTTTGTTTTGTTTGAGGCATTTTTTGTTTGTGGAATTGGAGATGAAAATCATAGGTTTATGCAAAACCTGAGTTACACAAAATTCTGATCTTTGTATCTTTTCCTTGAAAGTTGGTGAGTTAGTGGCTCATTTATCTTTTATTTTTTTTTCCTAAAGCCAACTCAACCCCAATCAAACTGACCCAATCCAACCCAAAGTTAGAAGTTAGTTTGCTTTTACTGCCCATGAATTGAGTTCTTGGGATTGAAGGCTAGGTTGGGCCAGGGTTGACCTCAACCTGAAGCAACCAGATCTGAGTTGCACCCTACCTGTTGTTTCAACAAGTAGCAATGGTGTCACCTACCCAATCATTTAGATTGCACAAAAATCTAGAATTCGATACTACTCTATGACTGCTAACCTTATAACATTCCTGAATCAGGTTCTCATCCTCAGCCACTTCAAGGGGCTGGCCAAAATTCTCACTTTGCATTTCAAAGGGATCAAATTTTTCCAGCTCCAATCCCTGAGCCAAAAATTGTGATAAAAAAAAACAAAATAATGACACTGCATAGCTGATTGACACAGCCTAGCAAAGGTTGCAAAGCAGTGAGAGAGCAGATGGTATTGAATTTCCACTGAATTCTATTTGATGTAGGCAATGGTGCAAGAACAACAAGGACATCCTTTGTGGGGCTCATATGCACAAAGGCTACTGGATCCTGAAGCAAGGCTTTGGAGAAGTCCTAGCAATGGTGGTCATGATGACAAAGCACATCCACCCATTCATCCAACAAAGTACTCTGCTGGGGAATCTGGTTGGAGTCAAGACCACCATGTAAGTTGAGTCTTACCATAACCGTTAGAGAAGGAAATCATACTGAAAACTCTGTGAATCGTCTTCTAAATTGTATTTTATCTTGATTAAGGTGAATGGATGTCATTTTTTTAGAAGTAGACATTCCTTTCTGTCCATTGAGTTGCTTCTACAATTGACTGCAGAGACTGTATGAGCTTGTTGTTCGCCATTTCCTGGCCTGTGTCTCACAACCAGCAATTGGCGCTGAGACCATTGTTGAGATTGATATTGCTGGTGAACAGTTTTCTGTATCAGGACGTGTGATATTACAAGTAAGTATTTTATAACATTTTCTATTTCTTCTGACCTAATGGAAGTATATGCTTCTTTGGTTGGGCTTTTCATTCTTCAACTTTGTAAGCCATGGCATTTTTTCTTTTATCAATAACAAATAGTTTTTCATTAACAGAATTAAGGATTCAGTATATGAAAGGGGAGATAAGCTTTCTTGACTCACCTTACCAAGAAGTCCACCCAATAGGTGGGAAAAACAATTACAATTAAAATTGAACCGAGAGAATAGAAACCCTATTAACCCCTTGTTTAGCTAACCCATCCGCAGAAGAATTATCAGATCTTTTAATCCATGAGAATTTTACACCAATATCCTTTGTTAGCCACTTGAACTTCTTTTCATTGCTGTATTTCTACAGTCCATTCATTTCTTCCTTCAACCTGCCCACTACCACCTTTGAATCTCCTTCTATAATCAACTTCCTGATGCTCAATTCTTTAGCTCTTTGTACTCCTTCCAAAGTTTCTAGTATCTCAGCCCGAAGAGAGTCACCTGTTTCAATTGGTCCTGAAAAAGGTGCAATTGCATTTCCTTCCTCATTCCTGAAAACTCCCCCATTGTCTGAAGGCCCAGGATTTCCAGCACTGCTACCAACAAAATTCAGTTTGGAAAATCCACTAGGAGGAGACCGAATAGGACATTTAACCTCCTTTTCTGGTGTAGAAGTTGCTATCTCAATCCATTTCCTCTGTAACTCATCCACTGTAAATTCTTCAAACAAGTTTGAAGGCTTCAGCTAATGTACCACCCTTATTTGGATCACTTAAGTAAAGTTTCTAGGCTTTTCTCCTTATCTGAGAAGATCCTTGAGTTTGTCTTCCCATATTGTCCAGCATACAGCAGCCCTTGCGCACCTCCACATCACCCTTAGTTGTAGAAGCAAACAAGCTTTGCATATTAAGTGTGTGTGTGGGGGGGGGGGGGTCCACCTGCATCCAAAGAAAGAAATAAACCATTCCCAAATACTTTTAGAAAAAAAAAGGAAATTAATAAGTGATAACCAGTCTCGCCTTCGACCTTAAGTGTAAGCCATGGTATTTGTTTTGCCTATTATTGTCATTTGATTAGTGATGTATTCTATACTGCCTTATATATTTTGTCCATGAAATCAGTTGTGAAGTATTGCTTAAAAGTTGCAAATAGTGTGAAGAAGCTGGTTGTCTCTGAGACCATTAGTCTCCACAAAACCCTCCTAAGGTCCACTTACATTTTTTCAGTAACTGAAACTTTATTGATTGAATTAAAGAATGGTAATATTACATTGCAGTGCCTAAACATCATAAATTTGGCCTTGCCCCTGCTAGCCAGTGGGAGTCCCTTTCCACCATCAACCAACTGAGAGTCAAATCTTTGGCAAGTTTTCTTGTGAGACTGCTAATAAATCTGCCCTTGTTGAATCACCAGACTCCCCACTACCCATGATTGCCTTACTATTCTGATACGATTCGCTTACTAAATTGTTATAAAACAAACGAAAAAGAACAAAGGCATACAACTACCAAAAGACAATTCTCTATCTAATCAAAACATATAGTAATAAAGGAGAGAAAAGTCAAGATGGGCAGGTTAATGACATATGTAAAGAAGAGGAGATGGCTAAAAGACTAGAAGGGAAACAAAGAGAATACTATTTAAGTCTCTTAACATTCTCTTGTCTTAGTGAAATTAATGAAATATCCCTGAAATTTCCCCATTTCTACATGCCTAAATGTTTATCAATATTTAAATTGCAAACCGTGCTTCGATGTAGAGATGTATAATGAAAGAGATTGCACTACTGGCTGAAAATTCTGAGAACAGGCTATATCTGGGTTCCAAGGTCAGCTAATAGTGTTGTAGATAAAGTATATATCTTAAGGGAGGCTATAGTGAGGGTTAGGTCAATTGTGGATGTGCTTTGGCACAACTTAGTTGTATATATCAGTCTTATATAGTTAATAAAGTACTCACCTTTATGGATAAAAGAATTACTTCACAGAGGAATTTAACCCAGTAGTTTAAAGTGCCATGTAATATTTGGAAGCCAACCCACCTATATGTAAAGAGGAAGTTCCAGATTTTGAGCTATGGATGCATTAATTTCCCTGTACAGCTGTACTCTCTTCATTTGCGGGAATGCATTTCTATTCCACATTTGTGAGATGTCCTGCTGCAACTTCCCTCCAGATGCCAAGTTATCCCTGGTTCTTATGAATTATACATCTAAAGGATGATTATTGAATTATACATCTGTTGGATAAGAAACTAACAACTATTTCCAAATTTTGATTTGCAATATATTTAATGCTAAAGTATGATAATTAATCTTCCATTTGAATTATGCTGATTGTGTTTGCCCAGAAAAATTACCTTGATGTTTACCGATTTGAATCTTGGGGTGGCTCAATGATACCAACATACAGTGTTGGACAACAGGTTTGTTGCTGATCTCCATTTTTTTGCATTTATAATTTCTGAATTGTAAATTGGCGAGTGTTCTTTTATTTTGTTGTCTTCTCATCTTATGTTATCATATATTATTTAATACTGAAGATTACTTTTTTTTTATTATTTTATCAACATTCTTTTTGTTATTATTCTGGTTTCATGAGTTATTCAATGTTACCCAACTTTTCGTTACAAAGATGAAGCAACACATGGCTATTCATTATTATTCCTTCTAAGAAATTTAAGGTTTACAAGAGAAAGGCTAACACGGATATTCTTGATTCAATTCATGGTTGTCAAGGCATTGCCTAGGGGCCCATGGGGGCCTTGCTTAAGCACCTAGCTATTTTGTACATGGCACTATAAAATATTTTTTATATTCTTTATTTTTTGATATTATAATAATAAAATAGACATTATAAGGCCAAATGGTTCATTTTGTGTGTTTATATACTAGTTTCTTTTTACTATTTTCTTATTTGTTAGGGTTCAACCGTTCAATCAACACACATGTTGGTCTATGCTATTTTGAACCCTTGAAGACTTAAAATCTGAACCAATAAGCAAGGGAGAACTTAAAATTTTGCCTAATCAACACATTGTTCTTCTTCCAACCTTCATTTTCTTCTCTTGGGACAAAGACAAGGGCTGTTTCTTTTCTCTTTTTACTGCTTGTGAATATTGTTGATTTTTTATGTTTTAAAATGGAGTTTATACTTTATTTTTATAGATTATTGATAATTATTAGTGAAGGATGATTGCTGTTTGCTATGGACCAAGGGAATTGTTGAAAGCTTGTATTTTCCTAAGTATAGTACTGCAGGGGTCTATTGTACTTTTACCCCTTTTATTTTTTAGTTGCGGTCGCCCTAGTTTATATAACAAAATAGCTGGCGCTGCCAGCATGCTTTTGACTCTCAATCTCTTCTCCTCTTCTCTTCCATCACTGCACTGATAACATGGCATTAGAGCGGGACTGTTAGATCCAAAAGAAGAGATCGAGCACAGCTTCCCTGTCTTCTCCATTTGCCAGATCCAGATCCAGATTCATTGAAGACCCAGATCCAGATTGGACTGAAGTACCCTCTCTCCCTTCTCCTTTTTTATTTTTTCTGGTTGTGTGCCAGAACAGAACCTGTAATAGGTTCAGACTGTTAATGTGAGGTGAGCAGTCCCTTTTCTTTCCTTTTTTATGGGGTCGGCTGATCCCTGTAAAACTGTTGGTCGTGAGGACCTTTTGTGGGCTGCAACAGCAGCTTTTATGGTGAACTGGAGGTCAGAAAGTAATCTGTACTTGCTGTAATTGCCTTCCTGTTGATACGTAGGTCAAAGGATGACCTGTTAGTGCTGTTACAGCACCTGTGTTTTATAGAAAAGAGGTGCGTTTTCTGAAGAAAAAAAGGGGTTTTCCTTGGTACCCTATGTTAGGATTTTTTTAAGGATGTGTACCCCTCTAAGAGTGGTTTATTGAATCTGAAATCATGAGTGGTGAAGATTCTGCTACATCCAGTGTTTCCTCAATGCCGAATGGAATGAGTGGGGGTGCAGACCCATCCTTTCCAATGGCTGTTATTCCTCTCGACGGTTTAAATTATTTGGAATGGTCAAGAGGGATCAAGTTATACATTACTGCAAGGGGGAAGATAGGTTATACAAATGGGAGAATCAAAGAACCCAATTCTAAGAGTGTTGAATATGACAGATGGAACCAGGAGAACAACATGGTTATGTCCTGGCTTTTAGTGTCTATGCAACCCCAAATAAGAAGGAACTTTATGTGGGCTGAAACGGCAAATGAAATCTGGGAATAGGCAAAATCAACCTATTATGAGTTGCGTCAGTCTTCATACTCGTGAGAGCCAGTGGAGGGTTTCTCCTCTCTTATATGTTTTACCTTCTTTGCCTTCAGAAAGACTTCGACGGATTTAGCCCAAGGCACATAATTCTCTCCATTTAGTTTAATGGAGGTCATCTGAACATTCAGGTAGTCTGTAGGCACCATCACATTAGGTTTACAATCACTGTTATATCCCATTCTGTTATCACCGATTCTTCACACTTGCTGAATTCTATTACCACTGAATTCTGCACACTGCACACGACTAGATCACACTCGTCACACTGATTTYAGCACTTGTTGTTGCTGAAAAGTGTACTCTTTACACCACAAACCCTACTCCTACGGCTACCTGAAATCTCACCACTATATGATCACAACTCTTCCTTCGAAATACACAAAAACAGCATAAACCCTAGCACGCTACTGTCTGAAACCCCAGCATATGATCTGAAACATACTTCCTATTTGATCCACAACAGAAATCATGCACAAAAATCTCTTACCTTATCACTGAAGGAACAACCACACGAGCAGAAAATCAGTCCACACAAGACAGCCACTGCACCACACAGATCAGCCCTCTTCTCTTCATCGATTAGGGGAGGGCGATCTTAGAAACCACAGCAACCGACCACACAAGACACGACTGGAGGCATAGAAACCTCCAAGGGGAGAGGGCGATCACTCCTTTTCAGCCCTTTCCCTTATCTCCAGTTGAATGCAGGAAAATCAAGAGAAACCCTAGATAGGGTGCGCAGAGAATAGAAATATAGGCAGACAGAAATCTAGGCAGATTCGAGTAGCTCTGATACCATGTTATGATTCAGCCTGCCTTGGAGTTCTGTTTGTCTGAGATCAGTCACGTAGAGAGAGGTAGAAAGGTGGAAGAAAGAGAGAGAGAGAGAAAAGAAGAAAATTTGGTTTGAACTGGAAGTCAACGAACATAACTCCCATTCAGCCAGACATGTGCTTTTATTATTAAAATTAATGGAAAAGACACATGTGCCCTTATTTAAGTAAGGAGCACTGGTTCTAACACAATATTGCAGATCGGCAACCTTAATCTAAGTATAAAGACAGAAATACCCCTGCGCTAACAATAACATTTTTATTATTTAGAGACAATGATATCAACATGGTGCAATCATATGGAACATCTTGTTGTCCAAAACATCTTGGTCATCTTTTCACACATGTTCGTACTCTCATCCTTGTCATAAAGAAGTAATTTCAAGTATATATCCTGAAAATGATATTCCTAAATTTGTCGATGGCGTGCAGTTTATCCCAACGGCATTGACTCTTGATTCAGGGGTTACAAGGCCGCCTCCTCTTTTAAGTGAAGCTGATTTGCTAAATTGTATGGACAAGGTGAGGATGACCCATTACCCTATGTGGCTTAAGGTTTCTGCCTTGAATTGACTCTGATGTTATGCATTTTCTAATAACAATTCTTCAGTAAATTAGCTTGTACAAGTCATTATTGATAATTCTCTATATTGTTTCCTCTCCTTTTGTTTGTTTCCTAGGCTGGCATTGGTACAGATGCAACTATGCATGATCACATAAAAAAGCTACTTGATCGGTGCTATGCAACTAAAGACTCAAACACTCGTTTCTCACCAACAAATCTTGTAATTATTATTTCCTGTGGCATTCATACACATTTATTGTTTCTTTTCTAAAAATTGTTCCGATTTTTCCTTTTGATCTGTACTCACTATATGACTGATTTGGTAAAATCAAATAAGCAATATCCTGTTTGATTTTTTCCCTTTTCAAAATTAAACAATGATTTAGTTTATTATGTGCTTTATTTAATTGCAGGGTGAGGCACTAGTAATGGGATATGATGACATGGGGTATGTTGTTGTTGTTGTTTACTTTTCCATTTAATATTCAAGAAACATCTAAAATTTGATATCAACTTGTTGGCTCTGAAGATGTATTCGTTTGATAAAAGTGAATATGCAATTAGGTGATTTTGCATTGGTATTCTCTTTTTTTAGCTCTTTAATTTAATAGAATTAGTTTTGCTTTTCTTCTCTACTTCTTTGTCCTGCTTTAATCATTTGGATATTCTAGATTCTTGAGTGACGTAGAAGCTGCAGCACTTAATTATGAAGAAGCACAAGACAAATCTAGAAGGAACAAGAAAGTGAAGATTTCTTCTGCTTGAATTTAGCTATTTTCTTGTTTGATGATTTCCTAGGTTGTTTCCCAGTCAATTAATGATTTCTAGTGGATTATTATTGTTAGGAAGAGTCTCACAGGGTATATAGCTATTAGATAAGGTTATTTTGGGTTTTCCTTGCTATTTTTTGTCTGAGGTATTTTTTTGTAATTTCAGGGTTTTATTGGCTGCTGACCTAAATAGAACCCCTATATTAAGAACATTATTAGCTGCTGTTCAAAGGAGAAAAAAGGAGGATATTCAATTACTTCAAGCTTAAGAAAGTTGTTTCTTTCTTTCTTCACTCTATTTTCTTCATTCTCTTGAATTTCTCAAGCCGTTTGGGTGACTTTTGCTGTAAAAATCACTAGAACAATGCTTCCCATGATGGATCTGAGATTCTCTCAGCCATCAAACAGTTACAACAGCAACAAGTTGTGCCCTTTCAAGGTTTAGAAGCTGCTATTAGGCAGTTGACTGAAGCAATCGCTAGGACTAATCTTCATCCGCCTAGTACAGCCCCAACCCAAGAAGAAAGTAGGGGTTTGCCTGCTGTACCAGCAAGGAGAGTTGATCTAGGGAATCAGTTTCAGCCACAAGTGGTGGCCCGGCCCCAAGAACAACCACGTTTCCAAGCCCCACCAACAGCCCTTGATTTTAGTGATGAAGAGCCTATTATTGATGAAGAAGAGGTTTTGGGAGATGATGTTCATTGGGATTTTCTAGAAGAAGAGAGGTGTTTTGGTGTTGTCAAGCGTATTCTACATGCATCTAAGCAACCAATACGTGACACACAAAGAGAAGAAGATCTTCAAGACACGGTGTAGAATAAAGGATATGGTGTGACTTAATTATTGATAGTGGGGAAAAAGTGAATGTCATTGCTAAATCAATTGTAGAGCTGTTGGGCTTGCCAACAACACCTAGCACCGATCCCTTCATTGCTAGTTAGGTGAAGAAGTTCAGGCAAAAAAGGTTTCATAACACTGCAAAGTGGCTTTCTCTATTGGTAATTGTAGAGAGGATGGGCCAAATGGCCCATAGGCTGTTTATTCTTTCTTACCTTTTATATTCCTTTCTGTAATGGACCTTATTTTGGGTCCATCCTTTCTATGTTATGTTCTTTTAATTTCTTGCCCAACTAAGGGTCTCCTTGTAATATTCAAGTTTAACTTAATAAAATAGTATTAAGGTGTAGGAGAAGAGAGTAAGGTTCGAAACTCTCATTCTCTGAACCCTTATTGTCGCCATCTTCTTCTTCACCTTCTACTCCATAGAAGAAGAATTTTCTGCTGTTCCTTTTTTATTTCTGCATCTATTCTAAACAGTCCCCCATTCCTAAGGACTGTTTTTCTTCTGTAATGTATATTTTGATGAATTACCATTTGATGTTATGGATATTGATGTTACCCTCCTTATTTTGGGAAGACTTCGGCAATTCCGTTATGATGTCACTCATAGGGTGAAGGATAACCTTTATATTTTCACTAAAGATAAATAGATGATTGTTCTTGCACCTTTGGGAATGAGGGATGACCCAAAGCTTCTTAAGTGGAGAGTCGTATCCTTCTTACTCAAAGATTCTTAGAGGAATCTAAAGAGACTGGGCAGATATATGCTATTGTTGCCAAGGGTGAAGGTTCCCCACCTACCGGTGTACCCGATGCCATGGAACCATTATATGAACAATATAAAAGTGTTTTCCCTGAGAAATTATTTGATAGATTGCATCCTATGAGGAAAATACAGCATGCTATTGACTTGATTCCAGGAGCTAGTTTGCCAAATTTGCCACATTATAGAATGAGTCCTAAGGAGCATGAAATACTCCAAGGGCAAGTGGATGAATTTCTAAGGAATGGGTCAAACTAGTACTAGCCCATACGCTGTTCCAGCCTTACTTACACCAAAGAAGGAAGGGAGTTGGAGGATGTGTGTGGACAGTAAGGCCATCAATAAAGTAACAGTTTGATATCGTTTTCTGATTCCTAGGCTAGATGATATGTTAGATATGCTTTATGGGACAGAAATGTTTTCTAAGATTGATTTGAAGAGTAGTTATCATCAAATTGGAACCTGCCCTGGTGATGAACGGAAAATGGCTTTCAAGACAAAAGAAGGGTTGTATGAGTGGAAAGTAATGCCTTTTGGACTTTCCAATGCCCCTAGAACATTCATGAGGTTGATGGACCATGTTTTGAAGCCATTGACTGGCAAGTGTGTGGTAGTATATTTTGATGATATCCTAGTGTATAGCAAGGACGAGGAAGAACACCTACAACATTTGCAAGATGTATTTGGGATTCTCCACCAAAATCAGCTTTATGCCAACCTTAAGAAGTACAATTTTATGGCCAAGCAGCTTGTGTTTCTTGAGTATGTGGTCAGTGATTCAGGCATTATGGTTGATGAGGAAAAAGTTAAAGACTGGTCTTCACCTAAAAATGTACATGAGGTGCACTCTTTCCATGGCTTGGCTGCTTTCTACATGTGATTTGTACGGCATTTCAGTAGCATTGTTAGTCCTATTACTGATTGCTTAAAAAAAAAGGCAGTTTCAATGGACACCTGAGGCAGAAGAGGCCTTCCAATTGATAAAGGAGAAGCTAACCAAAGCTCCTGTACTTGGTTTGCCCAACTTTGATAAGTTATTTGAAGTGGAATGTGATGCTTCAATGACGGGTATAGGTGCTGTACTGTCTCAGGAGAATCGACCTGTGGCTTTCTATAGTGAAAAGTTAACTGAAATAAGAAGGAAATGGTCTACTAATGAGCAAGAGCTATATGCTGTAGTGCAGGCTTTGAAGCATTGGAAGCATTATTTGATCCAAAGGGAGTTTGTTTCTTATACCGATCATCATGCTTTGAAGTATATTAATAACACAAACACTACTAACCATATGCATGCTAGATGGATAGCCTTCTTACAAGAGTTTAGTTTTACTCTCAAGCATAAATCACGGTAACAGAACAAAGTAGCAGATGCTTTGAGTAGGAGGGTTCTTTTGATGAAAACATTGCAGGCAAAAAAGTCGTAGGGTTTGAATGCATAAAAGAACTCTATGCTATAGAAGAAGATTTCCAGGTTGAATGGGAAAAACTCCAAATGGGACATCATAGTGAGTTTGTCTTGCATGATGGTTTTCTCTTTCTAGGAACTCGATTATGCATTCCTAGAGGATCCTTGAGGGAGAAAATCATTAAAGAATTGCATAATGGGGGTCATTTGGGCAGAGACAAGACCATTGAAATGGTGGAGAAACGTTATTATTGGCCACATCTCAATAGGGATGTTGGGGGGTTTGTAAGGTTGCTATGTTTGCAGTTTCCCAGACATCTAAGGGGCATACCCAAAACATAGGGTACATGCCATTGCCTACTCCAGGGGTCCTTGGGAGGATCTTTCCATGGACTTTGTGCTTGGGTTGCTTAGAACTCAAGAGACAACATGATACAATGTTTGTAGTAGTGGATCGCTTCTCGAAGATGGCTCATTTTATTCCTTGCAAGAAGACAACTGATGCATTACATATAGCCAACCTATTCTTTAGGGAAGTGGTTAGACTACATGGCATTCCAAAGTCTATTACCTCATATTGTAACACACATTTCCTTAGCCACTTTTGGAGGATTTTATGGTGACGATTTGACTTTGAGCTACAATTTAGCAGCACTTGTCATCCTCAAACTAATGGGCAGACAGAGGTGGTGAATAAGACTTTTGGTAATATGATACACAGTCTATCTAGTGGGAAGCCTAAACAATGGGATTTAGCTCTTGCACAAGCAGAATTTTCCTATAATAACATGATAAACAGATCTACTGGCAAATCTCCATTTATGATTGTATTTGGATGCATTCCTAGACATACTTTAGACTTGGTGCCACTTCCAAAATTGCCAAGATATATTGTTGCAATGGAGCACTTTGTTGACAAAATCATATCTATTCATGAGGAAGTAAAGAAACACCTAGAAGAGGCCAATGCCAAGTATAAGGAAGCAACTGATCAGCATAGGCTACTAAAGTTTCAAAGAAGGAGATGAAGTAGTGGTGTTTCTAAGGGCCAATTCCCTACAGGGAAATACAACAAGTTGCACCCCAAGAAGATTGGACCCTACAAGATTATGAAAAAGATTAATAACAATGCCTATGTTGTAGACCCTCCTACTTCCATGAGTATATCTAGAACTTTCAATGTTGCTGATCCCTTTGAGTACCATCCACCCATCTCCAAACAAGACTTGAGGGTGAGTCCTCTTCAAGTGGAGGGGACTGATGTAGAGGCTGCAGCACTTAATTATGAAGAAGCACAAGACAAATATAGAAGGAACAAGAAAGTGAAGAATTCTTGTGCTTGAATTTAGCTATTTTCTTGTTTTGATTTTGTTTTGATGATTTCCTAGGTTGTTTCTTAGTCAATTAATATTTTTCAGTGGATTATTGTTAGGAAGAGTCTCACAAGGTATATAGCTATTAGATAAGGTTATTTTGGGTTTTCCTTACTATTTTGGGATATAGGTATTTTTGTAATTTTAGGGTTTTATTGTCTGTTGACCTAAATAGAACTCCTATATTAAGAACATTATTATCTGTTGTTCAAAGGAGAAAAAAAGGAGGATATTCAATTACTTCAAGCTTAAGAAAGTTTTTTCTTTCTTTCTTCACTCTATTTTCTTCATTCTCTTGAATTACTCAAGTCGTTTGGGTGATTTTTGCTGTAAAAATCACTAGAACAGATATGTTAGACCTGTTTGACCCACCTACTACCTCCCCAGACCTTGACCTTCCTATTGCCCTTCGCAAAGGCAAGAGGAAGTGTACAACACATTGTATCTCTAAACATTTGTCCTACAACCTTCTATCCCCTACCTATTATTCTTTTTTTGCCTCTGTTTTTACCCATGCGATTCCCAGGTCTGTACCAGAAGCCTTGTCCAAACCTGAATAGAGGGATGCTATGATGACTGAACTAGATGCTTTGCATAAGAACCATACCTGGGATATTGTGGACTTGCTTAAAGGGAAAGAACCAGTGGGTTGTAAATGGGTATTCACTATCAAATGTCATTCTGGTGGCACTATTGAGAGGTTTAAGGCTCGATTGGTTGCTAAGGGTTACACTCAGATGTATGCTATTGATTACCTTGAGACTTTTCTCCTGCGGCTAAAATGAATTTAGTTTGAGTTTTGTTGTCTCTAGCTACTACGTTTGGTTGGCCCCTTCACCAGTTTGATGTTAAAAATGCCTGCTTGAATGGAGACCTACATGAAGAGGTCTATATGTCTTTACCTCCAGGGGTGTCTGGAAAAGAAATGCAAGGGAAGGTGTGTAGATTGAAGAAGTCTCTTTATGGTCTTAAACAATTCCCTAAAGCTTGGTTTGAGAGATTCAGAGCTGCCCTTGTTTCTTTTGGTTATACACAGATTCAATTTGACCATACTTTGTTTGTGAAGGGAAGAAACTCTTTGGTGACTTTTCTAATAGTTTAGGTTGATGACATTGTGGTTACGAGTAATGTCACTTGGGAAGTGATTGAACTCAGAAGATTTCTTAACATTGAATTTGAGATAAAGGATTTGGGGGATCTCAGATACTTCTTGGGAATTGAAGTTGCTAGATCTAAGGATGGTATCTTCATTTCTCAACACAAGTATGTTCTTGATCTCCTTGCAAAGACTGGTAAACTCGGTGATAAATCGGCTTCTACCCCTATAGACCTAAACCATAAGCTTTCTGCTACTGATGGTGAACTGTTGATTGATAAGGGAGTGTTCTAGAGACTGTTTGGGAAGTTGTTATATCTCTGCATGACTCGGCTAGATATTTCCTATGCAATAAGTGTTATTAGTTAGTTTATGCATTCTCCCAGAGATACACATTTAGCAGCTGCAGAAAGAGTTTTGTGCTACTTGAAAGGTACTCCAGGGAAAGGTATTCTGTTTATCAAGCATGGACACATGAAGCTAGAGGCATACACTGATGCTAACTAGGCCGGATGTATTAATGATAGGAGATCCACCTCAAGATATTGTGCCTTGGTGGCAGGGAACATTGTTTCCTGCAATGGCACATGGAGTGTCAGAACTATTGTGGTTGAGATCACTTTTGGGAGCGTTGGGTATTGACTATGAAAAGGCAATGATACTCCACTTTGACAACTAGGCATCTATTAACATTGCACATAATCCTGTTCAACATGACAGAACTAAGCACATAAAGGTTGATAGACATTTCATAAGGGAGAAAGTTGCTGCAGGGGAAGTTTGCTTGCCATTTATTGCTTTAGAAGTGCAATTAGTTTATGTTTTGACCAAAGGTGTTCCAAAAGGAAAGCTGACACACTATATAAGCAAGCTGGGCATGATTGACATCTATGCTCAGCTTGGGGGGAGTGTAGAGACTGGGCTGAATGGGCCCTAATATATTTTTTATGTTTAAGTAATGTTATATCTGTTTTATGTGTTAATGGGCCTGTTCACCTCTTTTTAAGTTACTACTTTGCTGGCCGCTCACTTAAAGAGCAGACTTGTAATTAGCATGATTAATTAAGTGTAATAAAAGATTACTGAATGGAGAGAGAGATCCATCAAACTCTCTTCTTTTTTCTCTTCTTCTTCTCCATCTTCTTCTATTCTGCTGTAACCTTTCTTTCTCTCTCACTTTTTTTATTTCTTTTATCAGTTTTATAACAGATTTGGAGGACAGACTCACATCTATATGCATTATTATCTTAAATCTTCAGCATTTGATTTAGCCTTTATGACATTTTTGTTATATCTATTTTTGGCCTTTATCGTATTTTGGCAGGCTTATCATATTGATCTGAGTGGGGCCTTCTTGGTCTTTCCTTGACTTCATTTTATTTTTTCTTATTGTCTTTATTAATAAAGCACTTTTGAATTAACAAAAGTTGTTGTTTGAAGGAAACAAACAGTCTAAGGAATTCTTTTATCAATTAGAAGAAAGAAACTGTTGGAAGTGTCATGGAACTTTGGAGAAGTGAAATGGTGAGTTTGGTTGGGGAATGAGTTGGAAATGAGAATTCCTTATGGTTGCTAATAATGCCCTTAAAGAGGGTAAGCAACTTAGAAATGAGATTAAAAGAGAAGGGTTGTTGAACTTTTTTTTCTTTCTTTATCAGTGATTTATCACATTATCCACCTAGTGTAAATTTTGGGGATTAAAAAACTTAAAGATTGTCTTCTCTTCTACTTTGTGTTGAGGTCCAATTAAATTCAAGATAGTTTCGTGTGCTATTTTTCTATGACTTCCTCTATATTTGTTGATAGAGGTGTCGATGAATTATGATTCTAGATCCAAAATTATACTGCATATTCTTTGATTTTTTTTTATGATATGATGATTTTAGGAATAATTTTTTCAGGTATGAGCTCTGGAAACCATACCTTAGATCTATGATGGAATGTGACATGAAAGCAGTGAGCATTGGCACCAAGAGAAAAGCTGAAGTCTTGGAGACTTGCTTGCAGCAGATGAAAGCTTGTTTCTTAGATGTAAGCTGGTTCCAGACTTTTCTTCATCTTTTCATCAAGTATATGATTATTCGGCAGTTTGCAGCTTCTATGTTCTGAATGGTGTTCCTAAACTTACTTTAGCTAACTTGGAGGATATGTGGGAGTGTGGGAGTGTCTTTTAGACAAAAATGTTGGTTGTTACATGTCACACTTATGCTGGCTTGGATTCCAGCACCAAATCACTCTCTAGGAGATGTCTAGAACATCAAAAGGTTCTTATGGTTTGAACAAAATGGTCTATTGTTTTCATCCATTATTTTCACTGGAATATTTATATGAAGTTTTGCATCACCCAAAAGAAATGGAGTAAAATTAGAATCAGGTGGTTGAGGTCATTTAATTGTACTGATTTTTAGCCTCATAAATCCATGTTTGACAGAAAAAATATCCACTTACAGGCAACCAGGCGCATGTTTATGCTTAAGGACAGTCTGAGTGTTAATACTCTAGATGTTATGTGTGTATGATTACACATACTTGTGTTGGTATGTGAAGAAAGGCTCTAGATGTTATGTGTGTATAATTTTGAACCTAGAATTGCTTATATATTTTAACTATTATGTTTATTTTGCATATTTGAATTTTGATAATGGTTATATATTTTAGATAAGAATACTTGGCTGCAGATGGATTTCCTAGTAATGTTGGATATCTTTGTAGGCAAGGTTGAATAAAGTGAAACTCTTGGAAGCCATGGCAATTTTCTTTGAGAGGTACTGGCTTATCATGTTGTGTTGTGGTTTGCAGAACTTGTATTATTCACCTTTATTAAGCATCTTGTTTATCGTTTATGCAGGTGTAACCGACCTGGTACCAATGAGCAGCAGGGTGCTGTTGACATTGTTCGACCATGTAGTGCCTGCCAAGAATCCAATATGGTGTTAAAGCGAAAACCGGTAATTATTTAATTTATGAGCTTTGAGTACTTGGAATTCTCACATGCTAGTGCTGAATCCCAGTGGCTAGGCTGGCTGGGATTTTAAAGGTCTCTTATTCTTTGGTCCCCTAGAAGAACTTGTAAGAACACTTAGATTCATTACAAAGGATTTGCTAACATCATTCAAGAATGGGCCTATCTAGGGAAGGATGTAATCCTCAAGGGAATTCACTATGTCTCACTTTCTAGAGGAAAGTGGTAAATCAAAGTATTGCATGGTTCAAAATTTATCATACTACTTTAGATTCTTGATAATTTTCCACAATTGTAGACAATAATGTAGATGTGCTAAATAGGAAAATACAATTTTTATTATCTTCTTGCACAATCTAGAGGCTCGGCATCCCAAATGAGCCTTTTCTTCAGATGGATCATGAGATCACTCAAGTCCTTTGTCTTATCTTGGGCTCCCTCTAGGTGCTAACCCAAAGGAAAGCAGTTTTTGGACTCTAATCCTGGAGAAGGTTGAAAAAAGATTAGCAACTTGGATAAAGAGCTATATCTCTCTAGTGGGTAGAGTAACTTTGTTAAGAGCCACTCTAGCTAACTTTTCGGTTTATTATCTCTGTATTTAGGATCCCCTCTAGGGAGACAAAGAAATTGGAGAAGCTAATTAGGAATTTCCTGTGGGAGCCAGGGGAAGAGAAAAAAAGATCACTTAATAAGGTGGGAAATAGTGTGAAAGGACCAAGGAAGGTGGGTTGGGGATAGGAAATTTGGATTTAAAGAATATAACTTTGTTAGGTAAATGGTTGTGGAGATGGCCCTTTGGAAAGAGGGAGGTTGTGGCATGAGGTGATAGCTAGTATTCATAGTCGCTTGGAGAATGGTTGGGATGTTGGTGTTTGCCATCAAGCTACTTTGACCACTCTTTGGAAAGTGATTCACAATATCCTTCCCCAATTTCTTAACTTTGTCAAGTATGATGTTTGCTCATGGGATTTTTTTCTCTTTTAGGAAGATGCCTGGGTGGGAAATTTGGCCCTGAAAGACCTTTTCCCTTCTCTCTACTCTATTTCCTTGTTTAAGCATAAGGCTATTTCCAATTATAAAAAGTGTTGAAGATTAATTAGTTTTATGATGTTTGTCTAAGTAGATGTTTTATGTTAGTTGTTAGATAGGAGGTTGTTATGGACGCATTCCTCGGGAAGAAATATCATCGCCGCCGACAGCAGCAGCAGTGATTCAATGTCCTCATCCTACCCAGTTCGGCAACAGCAGTCTTATCCAGATTAGATTAGACTATCTTACTTGTTCTTATCTTATCTTATTAGTTGATTAGATTATCTTATCTTATCAGATTAGGATTAAGAGAGACTTATCTTATCCTTATCAAGATAGAGCAAGAGATCTCCCTAGGATTAGGACTCTTGTAATCTCCTATTTAAGGAGACACCATTATTGAATGAAGATATCGAATATTCAGTCAAGAAGTGAGTTAGGAGAGTTGTGATCTCTTGAACAAATCACCAAGGCGCCAAGATAGGTTCATCAAGAGCAGGAAGGAACAAGGGAAAACAGGTGGTTTTCTCCGTGGACCGACCCGTGACGAAATCTCATTTGCGGCCACTAGCGGCCGCCGACCAAATCTGCCGGAGTCTTCTGGCGAACAGCAGTTCGTCAACCAGGGGGCCGCAGTCATCCCCAAGTACAGCAGGTTAGAATTCTCGTCGTACAACGGCAACGGAGACCCCTTGGGCTGGCTGTACCGGTGCGAGCAGTTTTTTCGAAATCAATGGACAGACGACCGGGATAAGGTAAGCCTAGCCGCCTTTCACTTAACAGAGGAAGCACAACTTTGGTTCTATCGGTTAGAACAGGAAGAACCCGGGCTCAGTTGGCCCCAGTTCAAGTCCTACTGCCTTCTTAGGTTCGGACCCCCATTGACAAGCAACCCCTTAGGTGAGATGATTAACCTTAAACAGACCGGAACGGTGGCAGAATACCAGCGCCAGTTCCAAACCCTCCTCGCAAGGGCATCCTCAGTGCGACCGGACCAGCAGGTGGACATGTTCACGGCAGGGCTGGTAGAATCCCTGCAGGTGGACGTAGAAATGCAGAATCCCCCAAACCTGGTTACAACCATGAACTTAGCCCGCGCGTTTGAGCGCAAGCTGCAACTCAGCCGCAGGACCTACAATATGGGACGTCCACCGAACTCTTGGACACCCCCAAGATCAGCGACAGTGACCCCTTCTTCTGCACCCAGCTGGGAACTGAGATCTCACACAACCAACACCTCTAGATCGGCGACAAGTGCAGGAAGCAACATGGTAGCTCCACCCATTAAACGTTTGACCAAGGCAGAAATGGTGGAATGCCGAGCAAGGGGCCAATGTTTCAACTGCAATGACCTCTACTCGGCAGGACATAGGTGCAAGAGGCTTTTCTGCCTCCTAGTAGATGAGCAAGAGGAGGATGAACAAGAACCCGTCGTATTCGAGCCAGAGATCTCTCTCCACGCGATCACCGGAATAAAAACCTCTTAGACCATACAGTTACAGGCACAGATAGCAGGTAATCCGGTGCGCATACTCGTCGATTCAGGGAGCACACACAACTTCATAAGTGAACATGTCGCCCTTCAATTAAAACTACCAAAGGAACTCCGGCCACGACTACAGGTAGCCGTCGCAAACGTTGAAAGAGTTCACAGTCCGGGAATCTGTAAGGACGTTCAGATACAGGTCAACTCTGAACTATTCTCTGCCGATTTATTCGTACTCTCCTTGGATGGGTTCGATATTGTTCTTGGGGTCAAATSGTTGATTACCCTAGGTCCAATTTTATGGGACTTCAGCGCACTCACAATGACATTCCACTTAAATGGGAAGCAAGTCTCTTGGCACGGTTGCAGGGTTAAGGAGAGGATACCACAGGTCCATGCACTTCAGACAGAACCGGCAGCCATGGAAAGACTCCTCGCCGAGTTTTCAGACGTATTCTAGGAACCCAAGGGACTCCCTCCTCCCCGAGCATGCGACCATCGAATCCCTCTGGTGGCGGATTCAGAACCAGTCGTTGTCCGGCCTTATTGCTACCCTCACCTACAGAAGGAAGAAATAGAAAAACAATGTGCAGAGATGCTGAAACAAGGGATCATACACAAGAGCCACTCCCCCTTCTCTTCGCCGGTTCTGTTGGTGGCGAAACAGGATGGAAATTGGAGGTTCTGTGTTGACTACAGAGAGCTTAATGGTCGGACGGTCAAGGATAAGTTCCCTATTCCCATTGTGGACTAACTGTTGGACGAGCTGCATGGTGCTCAGTACTTCTCCAAGTTGGACCTTAGGTCCGGGTATTTCCAGGTTCGCATGGCTCCCGGCGGCATGAAGAAGACTGCCTTTCGAACCCACCACGGTCACTTTGAATTTTTAGTCATGCCATTCGGTCTCACCAACGCCCCATCCACATTCCAGTCATTGATGAACGAGGTATTTCAGCCCCATCTGCGCAAATTTGTTTTGGTATTCTTTGATGACATCCTCGTTTATAGCAAATCATGGGTAGAGCATGTGCACCATTTGCGGACCGTTTTCGAGCTCCTGCGCCAACACAAACTCTTCCTAAAACAGTCCAAGTGCTCCTTCAGGGAGCGGCAGGTTCTTTATCTAGGCCATGTCATCCACGGGCAAGGTGTGACGGTTGACAGTTCCAAAATTCAGGCTATCAAGGAATGGCCCAAGCCTCAATCCGCCGAGGCCTTACGCGGGTTCCTAGGATTAACAGGTTACTATCGCAAATTTGTACAGAATTATGGACTGTTGACTGCCTCGTTAACCAACCTGTTAAAGAAAAATTCCTCCCAGTGGGATGACGCAGCCGATGCAGTTTTTCTGACACTGAGGGATGCTCCGTCTTCCATCCCAGTCCTGCAATTACCAAATTTCGCTCTTGAATTTACAGTCGAGTGCGACGCCTCTAGAATGGGTATCAGGGTCGTGTTACAGCAGCAAGGACACCCGATTGCTTTCTTCAGCCGCAGGCTGGCCGACCGACATCTGAAACTTCTAGCCTATGAGCGCGAACTAATCGGCCTAGCTAGAGCCGTCCAGCACTGGAGGCCGTACTTGTGGGGGCGGTCGTTCGTCGTCAAAACCGACCATTACAGCCTCAAATACCTGTTGGAACAATGCCTCACCACTTCCCCTCAGCAACATTGGGTTAGCAAACTCCTCGGGTTCGATTTCCGGGTGGAATACAAGGCGGGAACCTCAAATCGCGCAGCCGATGCCTTGTCTAGGCGCGATGAAGACGCGATGTCTCTGTGTGGAATTTCCCAACCCCGGATCTCTCTGTTAGACGACATCAAGAAGGCAATGCCACAGTCTCCGGAATGGTCGCTCCTGGTCCAGAAGATCCAGTCCAGCGCTGTCGACTCCAATTGGTCCCTTCAGGACGGGTTGGTACTGTATAAAGGTCGGATACATCTTCCGCCAGACTCCCTGTTTCTTCCCACCATCATCGCCAGCATCCATAACTCCACCCATGAGGGCGTTCAGAAAACGTTGCACAGCGTCCGGGCTGATTTCCATTGGCAAGGTATGAACACTTCTATTCGGGATTTTGTCCAAAATTGCCCCACGTGCCAACAACATAAATGGGAAAACCTGCACCCGGCAGGCCTCCTTCAGCCCTTTTCGATCCCGACACAGATTTGGGCCGACATCTCCATGGACTTCATCGAGGGGCTACCCAAGGTAGGTGGCAAATCTGTCCTCTTCGTGGTGGTAGATTGCTTTTCTAAATATGCCCACTTCATTCCTCTATCACATCCATACAGTGCCACTTCAGTTGCCCTCACCTTCTTTACGCATGTTTTCCGCTTACATGGGTTACCAGAATCCATCGTCAGCGATAGGGACCCGATTTTCACTAGTGCCTTCTGGAAGGAGTTATTTCGGCTACACGGCACCACCCTAGCCTTCTCCTCAGCATATCATCCACAGACCGACGGTC